GTAGCACGTTTAGAAGCTATTCGTTTACTTCTTGCTTTTGCTTCGTCTATGGATTTTAAACTCTATCAAATGGATGTTAAGAGTGCCTTCCTCAATGGTTTTATTCAAGAGGAAGTGTATGTTGACCAGCCCCCGGGGTTTGAGGACTTCGAGTTTCCCGATCACGTCTTCAAACTCAAGAAAGCACTCTACGGTCTTAAACAAGCACCACGTGCTTGGTACGAACGTTTGAGTAAATTTCTTTTGGATAGTGGTTTCCAAAGGGGAAAGGTTGACACTACACTTTTTTATCAAGAGTAAAAACAATAACATCCTTTTGGTTCAAGTTTATGTAGACGATATTATATTTAGTGCTACTAACGAGTCTTTGTGCAAGGAATTCTCAACGTTAATGACAAGTGAATTTGAGATGTCCATGATGGGTGAGCTTACATTCTTTTTGGGACTCCAAGTCAAGCAAATGAAAGATGGCACATTTATTTGCCAAACCAAATACTGCAAGGAGCTCTTAAAACGATTCGAAATGGACAACGCCAAAGCCATGGCAACTCCGATGAGCACGTCCGAGCATCTGGACAAAGACGAAAAAGGTAAGGAAGTTGAGGTCAAAAAGTATCGAGGTATGATCGGATCCCTTCTCTATCTTACTGCTAGTCGGCCGGATATCATGTTTAGCGTATGCCTTTGCGCAAGGTATCAATCATGCCCGAAGGAATCGCACTTAACGGCGGTGAAATGGATCATGAAATATCTTGTAGGCACGGTTAACGTTGGACTGTGGTATCCTAAAGGCTCTTCATGTCTTCTCGTTGGCTACTCCGACTCGGACTTTGCTGGTTGCAAATTGGACCGTAAAAGTACGAGTGGGACTTGCCACTTACTTGGTAGCTCTTTAATGTCATGGTTTAGCAAAAAACAAGTCAGTGTTGCGTTATCCACAACCAAAGCGGAATACGTTGCCGCCGGTAGTTGTTGTGCTCAAATCCTTTGGATGAAGCAACAACTCGTGGACTATGGCCTTAGTATCAGTCACGTTCCTCTTCGTTGTGACAATACTAGCGCCATTAGCTTGACGAAGAACCCCATTCTTCATTCAAGGACGAAACACATTGACATTAGGCACCATTTCATTAGAGATCATGTTCTCAAAGGTGATGTCGAAATTGAGTTTGTTGAAACACACAATCAATTAGCCGACATTTTCACAAAACCTTTAGAGAAAGAGTCGTTCTTCCGCATTCGTAGTGAACTCGGAATCCTTGACTCCACAATGATCTAACTTGTGCATTTTATCATTTTTTTTATCTTTGCTGGAACGTTTACTAACTTGAGCGTCGGAGGGTTTTCTAACTCTTTTTTGCAGGGACGGTTCGAAGTGAAGAATTCTGGAAATCAGGGGGAACCAGCGATGGGTAGGCCATACCATCACTGGAGGGAAGTTTTTCTTTTTTTCGAAACCACTCTTCCCATCGATGGGTGCTTCTTCCCATTGATGGGTAATTGACTCTTTTTTTTTAAAAAATAATTAACGGATTTCCAGAACACCCTAACCCATCGATGGGTATTCTATCCCATCGCTGGGTGAAGGACTTTTGTCAAAAACACTCTTTCCAGAACCTCCCCTCCCATCGATGGGAACCCTCTCCCATCGCTGGGTGTTTGACACTTTTTTTTTAAAATGTTTTAACGGTTTTCTAGTAGCCACCCTCCCATCGATGGGTGAGTTTGACCATCGATGGGAAGGCAACCTTGTTTTCTTCTCGCTTTCTAGTAGCGAACCTCCCATCGATGGGAACTTCCTTACCATCGATGGGAAGGCAGTTGAAATTCAAAAGTTATGGCCGTTGGGCACCGAATTTAATGCCCAACAGCCATATTTTTTGAATTCACACGGTTCCATCTTCCTCTCCCTATATATTCACATCATTCCTTACATTTTTAACACACAATCAACACCACTTTCTCATTTCTTTAGCAAATTACACTCTTTCCATCACTTTTTGGTAAGAAACGCTGTCATGTAGTGTAGCTCGAGAGAGTCTCTCGGGAGGCTGGATTAGCCACAAGTTGTGGTGAACCAGAGTAAAATTCGGTGTGCCTTTTTCTCTTCTCTTTACTTCTCTTTTATTTTTTTAATTCCTGCGATTTCTCCGATCAAACGCTATTCACCCCCCCTCTAGCGTTGGTCTATTATTCTAACACCGGCGGCATCTGCCCGGATGACCAAGTGGGCGGTCTTTATCAGTCAGTATAACGTGGAATTCAGGCCATGCCCATCCATCAAGGGGCAAGCACTTTCCGACTTTCAAGTTGAGTGCACCGCTAGAGAAATGACAAGAGCCCAGGTTGAAACTCGGGAGGAGAAGGATTGGTGGATAATGAGCATCGATGGATCTTCTGGGTCTCAATCTTGCGGAGCAGGTATCGTCTTGATCACCCCAGAAAAATTCCGGATTTATTACGCTGTTAGATTTCAGTTCCACGTGTCCAATAATGAAGCTGAATATGAGGCCCTGATCAATGGATTGAAGATTCTTGGTAAGATGGGAGTATCCAGGGTTCAGATTTACACCGACTCCCGATTAGTGGTGGGACAAATCATGGGGGAATTTGAAGCAAAGGAAGAGAGGATGAAAAGATACTGGGACTTGGCCTTAGAGATGCTGGGAAGGTTTGAGTTTAAGCTTGAACATATTCCCCGGGCCCAGAATGCGGAGGCTGATGTTCTCTCCAAGCTCAGCGCAGAGTCACCAGAATACATAAGCAAGTTAGCAACCATCGAAGAGCTGGTAACCCCTAGTCTTAACAGTAGTGAAGTGATCTCGGTATCAGCTGATCCCCCGGAGTGGCTGGACCGATTGGCCAAATACATTGAGGACGGTGAAGCCCCGGAGGATCCCCAAGAAGCACGTCTATTACGGATGAGGGCGCCAACCTACAAGGTGCAGGATGGAGTCCTCTATAAGCGGTCTTATAACGGTGTTCTACTCCGTTGCCTCAGAGCAGCAGAGGCGAAGGCATTGATGGAAGAAATACATGAAGGAGTGTGTGCTGCACATCAGGGTCCTTACTCCATTTCCAGAAGGGCTATTATCCAGGGGTATTTTTGTCCAACGATGAGGAAGGATTGCGAAGAATATGTACGCAAGTGCCCGACCTGCCAACAATTCTAGAATATACCCGGGAGGCCAGCCACAAATTACACACCCATCAGCTCTCTGATTCCCTTTTCGAGATGGGGAATCGATATTGTGGGAGCCCTGCCAAAAGGAGCTGGGCAGGCAAGGTGGATTGTGGTGGCGATAGACTATTTCACAAAGTGGGTGGAGGCCGAGCCGCTTGCGGGGATCACCGGAAGGCAGATGATCGACTTCGTTGGAACCAATATACTCTGTAGATTTGGGGTCCCGAAGCAGATCATATCGGACAATGGAACCCAGTTTGAGGAAGCAGAGTTTCAAGACTTTCTCAAAACTTGGGGAATTCAGCATACAAAGGTGTCTGTTGCCTACCCTCAGGCTAACGGACAAGTGGAGAATGTTAA